TTAATATTTTTCAATGATATTTTATTGAGCGATGTAGTTTTGTGATTGATAACTGTAAAAAATTAGAAGGAAAAACTCAATAAAACTATCTTATTTTAATAAGGTTAAATACCCTTTTTGATCTATCTACTATTGACAAATGCTCTTTTTTGGTCCTTAAATTTTAAAATCTAATCCCTTTTTGGTCCTTCTGTTAAATTTTTGCTTATTTGGTACGTTAATTAATGGAATCTCTTGATTATTTTTTATATAAATAATATAATAAATTACGTTGAAATTACATGTAAAAAATTATAATCAATGTAAGCATTTTATCTAAATATTTTATCTACATGTACAAATTAAAAATTTTATTTTTTAATTAATGAATTAAATGAGTTTAATTAACTTTAATTTCTTCCTTTTCTTCTTTCTTCATCTTCTTTCTCCTCATCCTTATCCTCAGCATCATAGCATCATGTAATCACCATGCTCTTCCCCTTCCCTTCATCATCCTAGGTTCCTGGGTTCCACAAGGAACCTAGTTTCTGGGTTTTGCGAGAAACCCAGTTTCTGAGTTCCACATGGAACCCAAATTTGGGTTCCAACCCTTTTTTTTTTTTTCTTTTTTTCATTTTGAATGTATCTATATTCCATAATGGAGCCGAATGAAACCAAAGTTTCATTTTCATTTTTGAATTCGAGAAGTTAGGTTATGGGTTGATTACGAAACCCAAATTGTGTTTGATATGTGGCTTTGAAATTGCAGGGGATAGATTCATATTGTTGTGTTCATATTGCTATGAACTTCATAACTTGATTCATTCATTACCTAGGTTTAACAGGAAAAAGGGTTAAAAATCTATAAAGAGAAGGATTGTTTTGTAGAGAAGAAGTTAAGATTGACAGTATTAATAAATCACTTTAATTAGTAATTAATTTTTATTTTTACTAATGAAAATGGTTTTATGAAAATAATTTTATGAATTCTCAATTATATCTTAACTAATTTCACGTGTAAAGAGTTGATTATGAATGAAAAACAAGACTTTTGAAAGAAAGAAGATGATATCTAGAGAGGAATTTGAAAGATATTGGAAAAACAAAGAAAGGAGAATTGTAGAATGTGGGTCCCATCATTAAGTTTTTTTTCACGCGAAGAGAGTGACATGGAGGGGTATATTAAGTCTACATAAGCATTTTTACACGGTGGAATATCCACATCAGCAGTTGCCATTAAGATATCTTGTCACGTGAGCAAAAATTAACGAAGGGACTAAAAATGGGTCAAATTCTAAAATTTAAGGACCAAAAAGGAGATTTTTTCGGCACAAGGACCAAAAATGGGCTTTTTTCAATAGTAAATGGATAAAAAAGGGTATTTAACCTTTTAATAAAACACTAGTGAAAATTACCAAAGCAGTCTCTTTCTAGTTTTAAAAATAAGTTATTTTAAATGTACCAAAAAAAAAGTTATTTTAATTTTTTCAATGAAATTTTATTAAATGATATAGTTTTGAAACATTTTTTCTCCTAATATTTTAGAGATTCAATTGACAAACACTTTTCCGAATATATAATAATATTGTGTATTAATATTGACTTCTAAAAAAGAAAAATTGGAGTACCAACTTTAAAAATATCATTCTCGAATGGATATTTTCAAAAATCAATGGTTAAGTAATTTAGTATTCTATTCATATAGATCATGCATGTTAATTTTTATATTCATTTAATATATATAACAAATTCATTGATTATACAAATTTATCATCATTAAATATATGTTAGAAAATACAAGTTACTTAATCGAATGATTATAGATGTTAATGTTAGGTTCTCTTTGTATTTTGATGATGATTTAAAACCATAATTCAAAAGAGTTTAATCTATTTATGTGCTAAGTGTGTAGGAAAATTAATTCAAGGATTCTAATCTTTCCCAATGATTAGAATTAATTCATGTTCCCCTTGTTCAAAGTTCTGGGTTCAAACCAATCCCGAACTTCTTTTTTTCGAAAATGGTTCAAACCATTATTTCTAGCTTCGAAGCAAAAATTTTGGAAGGTTAAATTTTGACAGCTCAACTATCTGTTTATTCTTATTCTTAATTGGTCTTGGGGGAACCAATTGTCTGAGCACTTTCCAAGGTCAAGTCAGAGTTAGTAGAATAAGGTGGAATCTAATTGGAGCATTAGTGAGGTGGCTTTGAAGGGCTAAATGGGGTTTAATTGCAAGGCTCCAAACCTACTATTAAAAAGATCATAAAATCATATCTAGAGATGACGAAGAAGGATGAACTACTCTAGTGTTATAGAAAAAAGAGTTTGAAATTGTTCTGCATCTCCTTCTTCTTCTTGTGAGCTTTTGGGTTAATTGTCTTACAAGGGTTTTGTATTCTTCTTGGATTGGGATAATCCTTGAAAGGGTTGAGTGAGTTAAGATTCACTTATGAAGGTTTAATCTTGCACCCGCATGCAAGAGTTTGTTTCGGTTTAATCTTGCATCCGTAAGCAAGAGATTTATAGTGAATTGAACTCTTGAGCAAGGAGGCTTGGGGAGTGGATGTATTCCGGGTTGGAGGAACCACTATAAATCACGGCTTGATATTCTCTTCCCTTTCTTTTATTTTTCTGCACTATATTACTCTTTGTTTATTCTACACAACAACTTATAAGTTGCAAACTTGATTTAAGTTTTGAAAGAAAAAGAAACAAGTTTTTAAGTTCGAATTAATAAGACCCAATTCACCCCTCTCTTGGGTAGCTAGCTGGGATTACAGTTAAATCAACTTGAAAAATGATATGCATGCTTTATATCAAAGAACATTAAATCTAATAGTTAGTTTTAAAAAATATTTATTGAAGAATGGTTTTTTGAAGTTGGGGCTATAAATTTTTTTTTTTTATAAGAGTCAAGATTGATATATATACAAGATGAGACTCTCTTATACATAAAATTTATTATGACCTTTTACAAAAAATTTTGTTAACCTTATAAAAATAAGATGAAAAGTAGATAAATCTTAACCATTTATAGTGAATATATGAATAGTCAAGATTTTATATAAGTAATATGAATAAAAGTTGTGTGTGTGTATATTTATGTAGGCATTGCAAAATATCAAGACGTCTTCCAAATAAAAATGTTAAGACTTTGTATGAGACTATTTAAATACTCTTAATAAATCAACATACAAAAAAGATTTTTTAAGAGTATTTAAATAATTTCATGAGGAGTCTTGCCATTTTAAATCTTAGGACCTCTTGATTTTCATATTATATATATATCAATTAGTGTTTATCTACCTTACTTTAAAAAATTAAGAGAAAAGTTATTTTAAAATTATCATTTATAAAGGGCACAATCTAATTCATATTTTAAAAAGGATAGTGATTGGTACACACACGAATGACTGCACAACACACTCATTAAGAAATTACAATTTCTTGGCTTGAAATTAAAGGTAAACAAGTTTAAAGATACCATTATGCACACAAGATCTAGGCACCAACTAAATCGACTATATTTATATTATATTTTTAATGGTTAAACTAAAAGTGTGTTAGAAAATGTGTTGAACTGATTGTATATCAATTATTTTTCTTTTAAAAATAAGGTATTTTAGTCTTTTTCAATAGGAGTTTATTGAAACGAAATAGTTTTGAAGTGATTTTTGTGCTAATTTTTTGGAGGTAAGGCAGATGTGCATAATTTTTTTTTATAAGTACAATTATATTAATAATTGAAAAACAATTACAAAGCAGACTATACCTTGCCATATCGGCTGAACAGGAAAAAAGAAAAATCTAGGAATGACCTTTGATACTAATATATAAAGCTAAGTGTTCCATACAAATAAAGACAATTAGGAATTGGGAACCTCTAAATATTAGTATATATCAAAGGGGTATCAATAGAGTTATGTAGTAACGTAGAAAGAGTGCCCTGGAGCTTACTGACGCTGTTGGCAATCACATCTATTTTACCACTCAAACCTAGCATATATAGGAGATCAACGGGCTTGGCAATGTAGTGTCTTCCAACATGACAATGCTCTGTTGTTGACTCAATGCACTCCAAGAGGGGGGTGAATTGGAGTTGGAGAATTTT